AAAGAAAGAAAGAAAGAAAGAAAGAAAGAATAAAAGAAAGAAAGGGAGGGAAGGAAAGAGAGAGAGAGAGAAAGAAAAGAAAGGAAGGAAGGACAGAAGGAATGAATGAACTATTGACCTAGAATCTTTACCAAGTGAAAATATCTTTCAAAACCCAAGGGGTGGGACTTCTGAAATGGCTGTGAAGATCCTCTCCCCAGAAAACAGTGATGAAACTGGTCTAATTGTTAAGACAACTATTTAAGGACTCTGGTAATGGACCAAAGTTGTACAATAAAACTGAGAAGCATTTATTTGAGAAATTCTACTGAAGCTTGGTGAGAACTGTGGAAATCCAGTGTTTCAGCCAGGGGCTGTTCACTTGACCTCCCCTCTAGTTCCATGGTGTACAAAAATCTTACATGGGAGAGGGGCTGACTTTGAGGCAAAACACAGAAAATTCTATAGGCAGGGATGTAAAAAAAAAGACAGCAATCATAGTAGCAAACGTTCAGGGAATGCCAACATACTGACTAGCCAGAGATGTCAGAGCTGGCTGGTCCAACTAGCCAGAATGCAACAGGAAAGTCAGGAGACTGAGACGACAGATGTCAATTATTATACAGCAATAAGGCTGTGATTTAAGGCATCTTCCAGGTGCCATCCATGTGCACCAGGAGACATGTACAAAAATACTCAGGACTGTCTGCAATAGCAAAAAAAATTATAAACCCCAAATGTCCATCAACAGTCCGAAGAATAAATAGCACATTTTCATACAAAGGAATCCCATGGAGCCATGAAAGTGAATCAACTATATGGCTATCCAAAACAATCTGGATGAATCTTAGGAAAAGAATAGTGAGCAAAAAAAGCAAGTCCCAGAAGAACACACAGTGTGATTATATTTGTGTTACATTCAAAACCAAGACATTGTTTAGGGATATAGGCATATGTGGTAAAACTCTAAAGCGGGCTTCTGAGGATTAGGGACTGGGCAGCCTGCCTGACCAAGGTCAGCAGGGTGGGGAAGAGAAGGGCACATGAAGGACATAAATGAATAGGAACCTGCATAGCAAGAAGTCCTGTGATAGCAGAAGCCACTAACTGGGGAAGAAAAAGGTTCTGGTGCTGGAAACATTTCAAAGTAAAGAAGTACTATTCTTACCTATATGTAGTTCGAAGGGCCAACCCTGGACTGAGAATCAGAAGACCTGGACTAACCTCCAGACCTACTGTGAACTTGCATTATAACCTCAGGCAAGTTTTCACCTATGGGGCTCGGGATATGAAGCTCAATTAAGATAACGCATGCTGAAGAGCTTTTTAGATGCCTTTAGGGAATGGGAACGGATGAGTTTCAAGCTCATCATAGTCTCAAGTAGAGACAGATTTATCAAGACACTAATGATGCTTAAACTTCAGAACCCCTCACCTGCCCAAGCCCCCTTCCAAAGCCCTCAGAAGAGTCCTAACCGTTTTATGTTATTTTTCCTTGAAGAACCTTAAGTGGTATAAACTTCAAGCCCCATTTGATCTAAGCTCCAAAGTGGCAGAAAGCTTAACAGACAGCCAGAGGAGATTCCTGTTTAAATTCTCTGTTCCTATTTAATCTTCCTGCCTCAGAAAACCACCTCCTAATTCAAACTGCATTTCCTTCAGAAATTAAGAGTGCGCTCTCAAAAGAGTATGACGAATAGGGCTCCAGAAATCCCCGGCTGTGCCCTTTGTGTGGAGACCTCAGGATACAATGAGTCTTGCTGGATAACTCAATACAGCGTAAGATTACTTTTCTAACAAGGCCCTTTGCTAAGAAGGTGCAAACTAGTTTTGGCTAATATACTTGCTAAATATTATGATTGGCTCAACTAACTACCTGTGTGTTGCCTCTACCTCCTGCTTCTGAAACACTATGCAATCTTGCCCCAAGGCTAGTAGCACTGTCTCAACTGGCCGCCTTCCACAGGTTCCTGTCTCTGGTCTTCCGGATGTGCCAGAGCTGGAGAAGCATAAATGCAGGCAGGGGCTGTGGCACAGGCATGATACCAGATGCTATTACCTACTACCCGGCATTTTGTGGAGCCCCAAACCTCCTTGTGCTTTGTCTCCTCCATGAAGGAGGAGAAGAGCAGAAGCTGAACCAGTGATCTGAGAATAGGGAGAGGAATCTGCCACTGGACAGAGTATTTTGAAGAAGAACAAATTATCCAGGAAGGGGATTTGCTCAGTAGAGGCTGAGAAATTTGTGGAGTAAGTCACAACTCTTCTTCCACAAGATGGCTGTATCAGCCAGGGAAAGAAGAGGACTCCTAAGAAAATGTTATCTTGAGGAAACCAAAAAGGAGCACAGAATGAATCTCCATGAAATCCATGCAAAACCAACAAAGTTTTTGAGAATCTTAGGTCAGCAGAAATATACTGAAAGGGACAGAGAGAGAATATGAAATCAAAGGCGACTATTGAACCCCCAAATGCTATCGGCAAGAAGCAGGCTGATAAAACTCACCTACAAAGTGCTACCTTTGTGAAAAAGGAAGGATGACTGAGGTATAGCCACAAGTTTAGAGGGGAAAACTAAGAGTTTAGAGGGTGAAACCAAGAGCCCAGGTGACAGAGATAAGAGCTATGGTGGACTATTCCCAGGCCTTGAAACCTAATCCAGACCCTGGAATTTGCCCAGCTGGATTTCAAAGCTACTTCAGGCTGATGACTTTTTTTTTTTAAGATTTTATTTATCCTGAGATCATGACCTGAGCCGAAGGCAGATGCTTAACCGACTGAGCCACCCAGGTGCCCCTGAGTGTCCAACTCTTGATTTCAGCTCAGGTCATGATCTCAGGGTCATGAGATTGAGCCCTGTGTTGGGCTCTGTGCTTAGTGTGGAGTCTGTTTGAGATTCTCTCTCTCCCTCTGCCCTCCCTCCACTCATGCATGCACACATACTCTCTCTCTGAAATAAATAAATAAAAATTTTAAAGAAAATCTCAAAGCAGCCAGAGTGAAAAAAAGATAACTTCTATAGAAGGAACAAAAATAAGGATGGCAGTGGATTTCTGCTCAGGAATCGTGCAACTGAGAAGATAGTGGAGCAGAGCAACACCCTTCCAGAAAGTAGGAAACTGCTGGGGTGTCTGACTGGCTCAGTCAGCAACTCTTGATGTTGGTGCCATGAGGAGCCCCATGATGGGATAGAGCTTACAGAAAGAAAAGAAAGAAAAGAAAAGAAAGAAAAGAAAAGAAAAGAAAAGAAAA